TAGGTTAATTCTGGTCAATTTTGTAGATCATTTGGCCTTTGGAGATGAGTTTTCCAAAGGCCAAATGATCTACAAAATTGACCAGAATTAACCTATATGGTCGTACAGTAAAATTGCAATGTTAATCGATCCCGCAGTAATTATCAACTAACTTTGACAATATTTGTTCTACAGTTATTCCCCGTCTCATTATGATCGCATGACGGGGATTTTCGTGTTATTAATCACAATTATCATCACAAATTGTTTTCTTTTTTTTTTCTTATTTGTTATCACCCCGGACTTTATTGTTATCACCCCAGGGGAAATAACAAATAAGAAAAAAAAAAGAAAAAATTTGCAATATAAGTTGTGATTAATAAAATGTAAATCCCCGTCATGCGAGCATAATGAGACGGGGAATAAATAGTACTTATTTTTCTATAACAGTTTCTAATAGAATTTATACCCTGGTCATTATATCAAGATCGCAGGGCATAAATCAGCTATGTCCTGGGCACTATGTGATAAGCGGGACTTTCAGCCCCGCTTATACCCAACTGCCCAGGAAATAACTATTATTGATTTTTGTATGTAGTAATTTAGATAGGTGATTCTCTACACCGTTCGGTCCAACTTTATTAGACGAATACCAGATAACGTTTCAATATTTAATGTGAAAATCAAAACTACTCCAAACTTCAGCTTGTCACCATCGAATTGTATTCTGTTTTCAATTCCAGATTAAGATAAAAGAGGAATGATAGTTACATCGGAATGTCCTCTAACTCTCATTTTTAAAATCGCATTGTTAAATCAAAATTTTCTAACACATTAACAATGCGACAGTCTATTGACAACCCAAGTCTCCAACAATCTATTTTCCGACAATACATGAATAAATTTAATAGCCAAATTCACACATGGGCTTCGGGTATAATAAGCTATGCAAGAAATTATTACTGTAAATAACAATTTTCGATTTAGTTTAATGAATGGAAAGTTGTTAATTGGCGTACTAAATTATCGTTATCTGTTATACAATCATTTGATCTCCCGATGGATAAGATTGGCCCGATACAGTGTTAGTCCCGAAATCATATAAACTCGTCTTGGATAACACTGACTAGCGCTAGCATATACTAAAGTTCAAATTTTTACGTACGTACGTAACGATAAATTTTCCATAACGATAATTGTACAGTAATTGTACAACTCTTTTCCAGGATACAATGCATTTAGCTATTTATAGATGCTCACGTTATATGTTATAGTTCTAATATAAACCGTCTTATTAACCTTCTTTATTGACCTTGAGTTAAAATGTCAGTAAATACAACCAAGGTTTTTGATGATAATTCTTTCTTGCCAATTGTTTATGAAGCCAACTTTACTGTTGACTTAGGTAATTTTTACGTCACAAGATACAAATAAGATGTATGGCTCTAGCATAACGATATCTGTGATATCTGCTTTCTCTTTTTTTTTTCAACAGAAATTTTTGAAGAGTTTAAAGCTTGGCTACAGGAACACCTTAGCACTACCTTGAATACCAAAGCTGGTTTTCGTGACGCTGAAATATTTCAACGTGACCCGCAAAAGGATGGTAGTGACGAAATTAAGAATCCTGATCAAGTTCACAAGTATATTACTGTGCTATTTGAAATAGATAATAAAGAGAATATTGATCATTATTTGAAAGAGGAGGTAATGCAATATTAGTTCAGGGTTTAATTAATTAGTTTACTCTAGCAATTCTTATTATATTCTACCAAATTTTTATGATCTAGTGAATTTATTCTAGTTATTAATTATGCTGATTTTTGTTTACCTAGTCTTCTAAAGTCAAGGAAACCTTGGAATCCAAATTTAAGAAATCGTCGGTAACTACTTCATATCGTATTCTATACCCTGTTTCGCTGTGGGCCAAAAGAAAAAGTTTGGAAAAATCAGTTTGAATAATTCATTCTATTATTTTCCGATCTTTTTGTTTACAACGAATTTATAACAAGTTTGTATTTTACATATTAAATATAGTAATATATAGTTATTTATTTTTGCTGTTTCAAATATGGCGCTTATATATATTTTTGATTAAAACGCATAAAATAAAGCGTAATGTTTTTTTTTACAAAAGGCAGACTTCTAAAATGCTGGAGCTTTATAACCAAATGATAGGAAATATATAGTTAAATTAAAATAAAATTTAGCTAAAATTTAAATCGTTAATAATTGTCAGGGATGATGCTGAACTTTAGGGTCCCCATTTAAATCTATAATACCTACTAAAATTCACATATACTTTTTTACTAACAACACTACCCTCAAACGCTAACCTAACTCTAAAAAAAAACCCTAACGAAAAGGCCCGAAATTTTTTTAAAATTTCATAACAAAATAAGTCAAAATTTCAGCATCATCCGATTTCAGTATCATCCCCGACAATAATTAAGCTTCACCGTATAAACGTGAAATAGCGCTCATGGCTGTTATTTTGAAAATCAGACCTTTTAAAATGGCATACACTGCTTTAAATAGTGCTTATGGGCGTTCTGAAATAACGCGCATTTAGTCATTGTAACCGAGATATTGAGTCAATTATATAGATCCGTAGATTGATGTAAACGTAAAAGCTACTTTAAAAACATTAAGCCCGAGAAATTGACGAAATAACGCACTCGAATTAACGTGCAGGTCATTTAATACCGCACAGATAGGCGCTTATACGGTAAAGAGATTTTATTAAAAACTTATTATTAAAATATACTACACAAGATTGTTTCGATTTTGGGTCAAAATCCCGAACAACAGATTATCGAAAGAACATAACACCGACTAAATTGGCCAGCATTATGGCTAG